TTTTTTTCACCTTTTCCTGCTTTTTCCTGGCTTATTCCCGGATTTTGAGGTTGAAATTTCCCGGGGTTTTTTTGGGTTGAAATTCCGGGATTTTGGGTTGAAATTCCCAGATTTTGGGTTGAAATTTCCCGGGGGTTTTTTTTTGGGTTGAAACCCCCCCCGTTTTGGGGTGAAATCCCGGGAATTTGGGGCTCACCTCGGCCACGATGACGTCACAATCCAGGCCCCGGTTGAAGCCCTGGGGGTTCCCCTTCACCCCCACCTGGGGGAGGGGAAATTCGGGGGGTTGGGGACCCCAAAATCGGCACAGAGACACCCCAAAAACACCCCAAAAATGCAAAAAACACCCCAAAAACAACCAAAACCACCCAAAAAACACCCCAAAAACCATCCCAAAACACCCCAAAACCCAAAAAACACCCCAAAAACACCCAAAAATGAAAAAAACACCCCAAAAACCATCCCAAAAACAACCAAAAACACCCAAAACCACCCCAAAACACCCTAAAAACACCCCAAAACACCCAAAAAACCAAAAAAACACCCCAAAAACCATCCCAAGAACACCCAAAAAATCCCCAAAAAATCTTTCCCAAAATCCCTCAAAAATCCCCAAAAAATCCCAAAAAAATCCCCAAAAATTACTAAAAAATCCTTTTAAAATCCCCAAAATATCCTTTAAAAAATCCTTAAAAAATCCCCAAAAAAAATCCATTAAAAAACCCCCAAAATATCCTTAAAAAAATCCTTAAAAAAATCCCTAAAAACTCCCTAAAAAATCCTTAAAAAATCCCCCAAATATCCTTAAAAATCCAAAAAAATTCCTTAAAAAAATCTTCTAAACATCCTTAAAAAATCCCCCCAAAAATCCTCAAAAAACCCAAAAAAAACTTTTAAAAAATCCTTAAAAATCCCTAAAAATCCTTAAAAAATCGCAATAAAATCCTTAAAAAAATCCCTAAAAAATCCCTAAAAAATCCCTAAAAAATCCTTAAAAAATCCCCAAAATATCCTTAAAAAATCCCAAAAAAAATCCCTAAAAAATCCTTTAAAAATCAAAAAAAATCCTTAAAAAGTCCCTAAAAACTCCCAAAAAAATCTCCAAAATATCCTTAAAAAAATCCTTAAAAACCTCCTAAAAAATCCTTAAAAAATCCAAAAAAATCCTTTAAAAATCCTCCCAAAAAATCCTTAAAAAAACCCTAAAAAAATCCTTTAAAAATCCTTAAAAACCTCCTAAAAAATCCTTAAAAAATCCCAAAAAAATCCTTAAAAAATCCTTAAAAAATCCCC